AGCAGCCATTCAAAATGGCAGTACCCAGTCAAACACCAGCAGAATGTCAGCCAACTTCCAGCCACTGGAGGGACCCCCTTCTTCACCATGGCGAGCATATTTTTGTACTCTGACTCCACCCTTTCCATGAATTACAGGGTCTGACTGTCATGTTTGGATTTATATGTCTAACCTACATGCAGAACACTCGGAGGCAGATGAAAAGCTCAAAGGTTTATTAACAATAAATGTATAATGATATGAACAGGTCCAAGAGGGGGCTTGACTGGTCACGAGTGGTTCACCGCTGAGGAGGACAGAGAGATTAGTGAAGGTCCAGGTATATTGCAGGTTGTCAATGTGCAGCTCTATACCTGTTCTGGAGTGGAGCAGAGCTGCAAAGGGAGGGAAGCTTTAGGGGTCCAGAGGTAGTCGGCAGGCTGAGGGCTGAGGCAGAGGCAGAGCTTACTGAGTGTTGCAGGCAGATCTCAGACTGAGTTTCCTTCCAATTTATCTTCTGAGAGCGGGAAGGCAGATACTGACTGAGGCAGCTCTCCTGAGTTCTACTGAGAACGGACAGGCAGAGTAAACTCTCCAGAGTTTCAGGTATTCAGGCAGGATCAACCTGTGAGGCAGAGAGGAGAAAACGGGATCAGGCTAAGTTCACAAAAAGTCAGAGAACACAGACAGGCAGGTTGGCTCAGGCTTTGCTAACCATTACTGGCAAACACTCTGGCGCTGGAGTGAAGCCCTCCGCCTCCTTAAGTACGGATCTCCCGATGAGCAGATGGAAAACAGGTGGTGCGGTCGGCTCATGCTCCAGGAGATCTCGTGCGCCCTCTGGTGGAGAAAGTGGACAGACCTCCAGATCCCAACACTGACCAGGAGATGGCGCTTCTCTTTAGATCCTAATGTCCACAAATCATGACAGAAATAATATTTTAGTACAAAGATTGATGTTTAAAAAAAGAATTGTAGTGGACCAGCCAAAAACCCATCAAAGAAAATGGGGAAATTTAAAATGGCTGCTGCTGCTGTAAGTGGGTTCACTCTAAAGTTCACTATATATAGTGATTAAGGGATTTGGGGATTACGGCGGACATTCGGACACAGCTAAAGATTCACTTTGTCTTTATCTTCATTGTTTCTTCCAGTTTTCCACAAAGGAAAGAAACGTCACTTGACTGTGTTTCCATGAGGAGTGATCAATCCAAGGATTACCCTCTTAACATCAAAGATGGGTGTGTACCTCACAAATGACCCCCAAAAACATCAGAATTTAAAACCGTCCATAAAGATCTTAACCCTCTGTGGTTATGTTTGTTTTTTTGTTGTGATTCTACCTCAGAGTGGACGAGCAGAGGACAGAAATGCTCAGTGATCGGTCTGCAAACCAAGATCCTTCGGAGCTGACGCTAATTTTTAAGGTTTCTATTGAACATTGCACACCGTTGAATAATTAAACATCTGTTCCACAACGACTAATAATGAGTAAATATCTTGTAATTGTGGCAGTATATTCAGTTATTTTGTGGCTTTATATGGATGATGATTAACTTTCTGTTAACAATTAAAAGGAAAACTGTAAAAGCAGTATAAAGTAGGTCTGCACTTTCATAAAACAAACATCCAAGAAAGCTCCCAACTGCTGGGGGGAAATTAAACCTGCCAAGTGCCGGAGGACCACAGAAAACTGATGAATACAGAGTTTTTGGTCAAAGGAAAAGGTCCAAACTCAAATGTCCCAGACCTGAAAACCCCTCCATACCAATCTACCATCCATCATGTTTCAAATGCTCCATCATTGTCTTTGTCTCCTAGAAAGAAAGCAGGAAATGCAAACCAATTAAATCTTCTGCACAATAAGCAGAAATGAATGGATGTCAGTGGACCATGAGGCCAGTCACACTGGTCATTTGGGAAGCACACTGTGAAATGATGAAGACTTTTGAAGACCACAAAGTTTAGATCTGGGACAGAGAGGACAAAGGGGTTTAAAAAAAAAGGTAAAAGTATCCATCTTCCTCAAAAGGGAAAAGAAAACTCTGAACACAGAAAAGTTTTGGTGTTACAGCCTCATAGCTCTAACACCAAATCCAATTACTGAACTTACACCGAACTCCAATAACCCTGCAGAATAAGAGATGGGTCTTTGACTTGCATGAAACTTGAAAAAGTCATGGAGGCTTTGCCTCTAAAACAGCTTTACTCCAACTCCAATAGACAAAAGCTCAACAGTGTATTGGAATGGGTCTGTGAGTAAGGAAGAAGCTAGGTAGTGGATGTGTCATGGATTTTGTTTTAAGTTGTTTTACCCACATACAGAACATTCAGGAGGGGGGAGGGTGAGTTGGGTCCAGGAAATCCTGTGAGTCGAACTAACGGAGTTTGTCGTGAAAGTGAATGAATATAGGGGAGCACAGAGGAGAGCGGATCAGGTTGAACGAAGCAGTGACCTTAAAGGTGCTCTGGGCTGTCAGCTGGGAAGCGCTTTGTAGATGTCTAAAGAACTTTGTTTGTAGATGTCTGAAGAACTTTGTAGATGTCTGAAGAACTTTGTAGATGTCTGAAGAACTTTGTAGATGTCTGAAGAACTTTGTAGATGTCTGAAGAACTTTGTTTGTAGATGTCTGAAGAACTTTGTAGATGTCTGAAGAACTTTGTAGATGTCTGAAGAACTTTGTTTGTAGATGTTTGAAGAAGTTTTTTTTTCAGGAGCTTGAACCTCAGGAGCATTAGTCGTTAGAGAAGCAAAGGAGAGAACTGGTTAAAAGGTTTCTATGAAAGAAACAAGGGCAAGGAGTAACAACAAATATGCTGCTCTGGAGAGCTGGCACTAGAGAGCTGGCAGCAGGATCCTTAAGTAGTCCACTACTAGATGGAGAACAGGTGAAACAATCAACTTGCCACTTAGGGGGAAGGTTCTTGTGAAGCCCCTCTGGAGGAGTAGCTGAATGCTGAGTTTGAATTCAGCAGCTGCATCCTTCGAAGGCCAGATTTGTTTGCCGATTACGTCATAGTGCTGCACCATGTTGGGATGGGAAGACTCCTCGTCATGTGGCGTACAAATGCAGCCTTCTTTTTGCCCATTTTGAAGGAGGGCTTGAGTGTATCTTACATAGCCTTGCGTATCCTCGGATTCACTGTCAAAGCTGAAGCTCCTCAAAAATCTTATTACCATCAAGAACAATCCATTCTTTGCCTGCTTTGTGTGTCAACTGCAATGGTTGCTAGGCGACAGAGCGTAGGAGCGGTGAAAGCCAAAGAAGGCTGGACCTGTTTGAATCCATGGCCAAACTCTTTCGGCTTTGTTTTTTTCACAGACCTCGAAAAATCCAGTCCAGGTAGGCCGGGGACAGAATTTCTAGGCGCAGCCAAGGTGTTGAGGGAATCAATCTTGGTGGCCTTAGAATTGCGTCTCTGTTATTCGCAGATGATGCGGTTCTATTGAATTCATCAGGGTGTGATCTACAGCTCTCGCTGGAGCGGTTCGCAGCAGAGTGTGAAGCAATGATATTTCAGTGCCTCCAAATCTGAAACCATGGTCTTGATCAGGAAAAGGGTAGAGTGCTTTCTCCGTGTTAGGGAGGATATACTGCCCCTAATGGAGGAGTTTAAGTATCTTGGGTCTAGTTTACAAATGAGGGGAAGATGGAGCGGGAGATCGACAGAGGGATTGGTGCAGCATCTGCTGTGAAGCGTGCGCTGTACCTGTCTGGTGTGGTTTAGAGAGAGCTGAGCCAAAAAGCAAAGCTCTCGATTTACCTATCGATCTACGTTCCTACCCTCATCTATGCTCATGAGCTTTGGGTCATGACGGAAAGAACGAGATCCTGGATACAAGCGGCTGAAATTAGTTTTCTCCATAGTGTGTCTGGGCTCTCCCTTAGAGACAGGGTGAGGAGCTCAGTCATCCGGGGAGGAATCAGAGTAGAGCCGCTGCTCCTCCATAGAGGAGCCAGCTGAGGTGGCTCAGGCATCTGATTAGGATGCCTCCTGGAAGTCTCCCTGGTGAGGTGGTCCAGGCATGTCCCATCTGGAGGAGGCCCAGGGGGAGACCCAGGACATGCTGGAGAGGCTATGTTTCTCAGCTGGCCTGGGATTCCTCCGGAGGAGCTGGCCTTCCCGACCCTGGATAAACGGAAGAAGATGGATGGATGGATCCATCCATCTCAATCATAAACCTAAAGGCTGTTTGCATCCATCAAAGCTNTTTGGAGGACCTTTCCAACCCTGGATAGTAATCCCTAAAAGGTGAAGGGAAGAGAGTTAGGTGCAGGCACTATAGGAGCTAAAAGTTAGGGTATTTGTAAGGACTGGTAAGGAGTTGGTGTTGAAACATTATCATAAAAACTGAGCTGATTTATGGCCGTTTGTGGAAGTAGATAGAATTATCGGTTGGACTGCTGGTGCAATGCAATCCAAACCACATGACTGAAACCACAACTTACCAACTCATGACTATAGAAATTCCAATGTAGAAATGACAGTAGAAAAAAAACAGAACAAAGAACATAGCAGTACAAGTCTAAACACAATAAAAATTAGGTCTGCAGAGGAGATAACTATGGTTGACCTACTTGCCATTCATGGGTTTTTGCAAACAATGCACCTAAAAGCAGATCCCACACATTCTGGACACAAAAAAAGACTGCCACCCTAAGGTCTAAAATTGCTTAAGCTAGACAACTTGTTTATTTGTACTTGGAAATAATATCAAATTCCTGGTTTGTGTCCAGAAACTTGGCAAATAAAAATGATATGGAATTGTCCCACTATGCCACCCGCCTTTTCTTCAATATTGGATTTATTTTTGGGTGTACCTAACTTACATTATATCATTTCAGGAGCTGGAGAACAATATTGTTGACTTTGTCAAGAATGAGCTGAAGAAGTTTCAGACTTCACTGCATCCAGATCCTTCACAACAGTTAAACAAAGTCAAGAAGGATGAGGAGGTTCTGCGGGGTGAAGATGAAGCCCAGAGGAGCACAAAGGAAGCTTTTTTAAATATCACACTGTACTTTCTGAAGTGCATGAAACAGGAGCAGCTTGCTGACTTACTGTACAGCAGTAAGTCAAAGATGCAAAGATGTATCACCTTTAGTGTTTTATTTTGCACTTTCTTTATTTGTCTTTGCCATTCCAGAAATATTTGCTCCGCTCTGTATAAACAAACTAAAATCCAACCTAAAGAAGAAGTTCGAGAGTGTGTTTGAGGGGATCGCTAAAGCAGGAAGTCCAACCCTTCTGAACCAGATCTACACAGAGCTCTACATCACAGAGGGAGGAACTGGGGAGGTCAATGATGAACATGAGATCAGACAGATTGAAACAGCATCCAGGAAAGCAAACAGAGGAGAAACAACAATCAAAGAGGCAGACATCTTTAAAGTCCCACCTGGAAGAGATCAACCAATCAGAACAGTGATGACAAAGGGAGTGGCTGGCATTGGGAAAACAGTCTTAACCCAGAAGTTCACTCTGGACTGGGCTGAAGGCAAATCCAATCAGAACATCCAGTTCATATTTCCATTCACCTTCAGAGAGCTGAATGTGCTCAAAGCGAAAAAGTTCAGCTTGGTGGAACTTGTTCATCACTTCTTCATTGAAGCCAAAAGAATCTGCAGCTTTAATCACTTCCAGGTTCTGTTCATCTTTGATGGTCTGGATGAGAGTCGACTTCCTCTGGACTTCCACAACAAGGAGATCCTGACTGATGTTACAGAGTCCACCTCAGTGGATGTTCTGCTGACGAACCTCATCAGGGGGAACCTGCTTCCCTCTGCTCTCCTCTGGATAACCACACGACCCGCAGCAGCCAATCAGATCCCTCCTGAATGTGTCGGCATGGTGACAGAGGTCCGAGGGTTCACCGACCCACAGAAGGAGCAGTACTTCAAGAAGAGATTCAGAGAAAAGAAAGAGAGCAAAAGGATAATTTCCCACATAAAGACATCCAGAAGCATTCACATCATGTGCCACATCCCGGTCTTCTGCTGGATCACTGCTAAGGTTCTGGAGGATGTTCTGAAGGCCAAAGAGAAAGCTGAGCTGCCAAACACCCTGACTGAGATGTACATCCACTTCTTGGTGGTTCAGACGAAAATAAAGAAAGTCAAATACGATCGATGGTCTGAGACAGATCCACACTGGAGTCCAGAGAGCCAGGAGATGATTAAGTCTTTAGGAAAACTGGCCTTTGATCAGCTGCTGAAAGGAAACCTGATCTTCTATGAATCCGACCTGATAGAATGTGGCATCGACATCAGAGCAGCCTCAGTTTACTCAGGAGTTTTAACACAGATCTTTAAAGAGGAGACAGGTCTGTATGAGGAGAGCGTTTTCTGTTTCATCCATCTGAGTGTCCAAGAGTTTCTTGCTGCTTTGCATATCCGCCTGCAGATCTCCAAGAAGGACGCTGACTTACCAAAAGAACAAAAGACTACCTTTAATATCTCCAAAACAAGAAAAGGTGTTACTCCACTGGGGAACTTCTACCAGACTGCTGTTGACGAGGCTCTGCAGAGTAAAAATGGACATCTGGATTTGTTTCTTCGCTTCCTCTTAGGGCTCTCCCTGGAAAGCAATCAGAAGTTGCTAAAAGGTATTTTGTCATGGATAGGAAGCAATTCTGAGCCCAACCAGGAAACGATTGCCTACATCAAGAAGAAGATTGAAACCTGCCCATCTACAGAGAAGTGCATTAATCTCTTCCATTGTCTGAACGAACTGAAGGATGATTCTCTAGTGAAGGAAATACAAACGTTCCTGAAATCAGGAAATCTGTCTCAACAAGAGCTTACCCCCGCCCAGTGGTCAGCTCTTGTCTTCATCTTGCTGTCGTCAGAAAAAGATCTGGACGTCTTTGACCTAAAGAAGTACTCTGCCTCAGAGAATTATCTTTTGAACCTACTCCCAGTCCTCAAGGCATCTAATAAAGCTCTGTAAGTTTGCACATTTCAAACTGTTAGAATGATGGGAAATGCATAATGCATTCTGTTTTATGTTTTTTTTTTGTTTTTTTTTTCCTTTTTTAGCTTGGATGGTTGTCACCTCTCAGAGAAAAGCTGTGAAGCTCTTGCCTCAGTCCTCAGCTCGAAGTTCTGCTATCTGAAAGAGTTGGATTTAAGTAACAACGACCTTAAGGATTCAGGAGTGAAGCAGCTGTGCACTGGACTGCAGAGTCCACATTGTAAACTAGAAACTCTCAGGTCAGACAAAATAACACAAATATAGAAAATCTCTTTAACCTCTTGATGCCTAATGCTGCAACCTTCAACAGACTTTGAATGTTATGCAAACAGTCTATATCACATGTGTTTCCCCCCAATGCCAGTTATTACCCATTCAGAGCAGACCTAAGAACCTTTGACAAGCACTTGTTTCTGGCACCACTGATCTCTGAGGGTGTCAGGATTGGTGAATGTTTAGCCCAATTCCAAACCGGCCCCTAAACACTAACTCTACATTTGCACGTCCTCACGGAGGGTCCTACACATTAAGTGCCGTCCCAAACCGTGTAGTGGGTAGGGCCAGTCGACCATTCAGCCCTTAAAAAATCGGTCTGCAACAGTGCAGACTCTCTGGAATTCGGAAGGAGGTGTAACAGGGGTCTTGTGGTGGAGGAAACGCGTTTCTCCAAATATAAGTAGAGCTGGTTTGCTGCATCTTCATCACACTGACAGATAATCACAAGTTAGGTAAATGAAAAAAAAAAAACTTAAAGGAATAGTACACCCAAAACATGATTAGCCTTCATTTTCTACTCACCCCCATGCTGAACAACACTCTGGAGTACTTT